GGAAAATCAATGGAAAGAAACGGATTGTGAAGAAATATTAGCTTTCATTGGATTGTTGATTCTTACTGGTGTTCATCATGCCAAGAATGAAAGTCTCGACGAGCTATGGTCGATGATCCATGGACGACCAATATTTCGAGCGACTATGACTAAGAATCGATTCAAGAGCCTGTTGCAATTTTGTCGATTCGACAATAAAATAACTCGAGACGAACGATTAAAAAACGATAAACTTGCTGCAATTAGAGGATTCTGGACCATGTTCTTAGCTCAATTACAAGTATGTTACACACCCGTGAATCACTTACTGTGGATGAACAACTTGTTGCAACTCGTGGTCGTTGCAATTTCCGTCAATATATTCCTAGTAAGCCAGGAAAATATGGGTTAAAGATCTTCTGGTGCTGCGACTCAAATACGGCGTATCCGTTAAACGGTGAAGTTTATCCAGGACGCCAACATGGAGCAGCTCCTGCAGCTAAAGATGCAAATCGTATTCGCAACTTGGTGAATCGGTTGGTGCATCCTTGGATCAACACCGGACGAACCATTACCACCGATAATTATTTTACTGGTGCAGAGCTGGCAGAAGATCTTTTGGGTGTTCAAACAACTCTTGTTGGGACTATACGACGAAATAAAAAGGAAATTCCACGAGAACTGCAGCCTGACAATAATCGTTCTCAATATTCATCTATATTCTGTTTTGATCGACAACTAACATTAGTTAGTTATATACCAAAAAAAGGACATGTAGTGATTTTGTTGTCATCTCTTCATCATGATCAAGCTATCGACGATGAACAAAAGAAGAAACCAGAAATTATTTTATACTACAACAACACAAAAGGTGGTGTCGATCGGATGGATCAGATGGTAAAAACATATTCGTGCAAACGTAAAATAAACCGATGGCCAATGACCTTTTTTAATATCGTTGATGTTGGTGCTATTGCTGCTTTTTTGGTATGGATAAAGAAAAATCCTAAATGGAACGAAAAAAGACAGCACCGTCGACGTTTATTTTTAATGCAGTTAGGTTATGATCTTGTTGAAACTCATGTGGATCGACGACGACAACAATCACAAGCACTTCAAAAGAACGTTCGAATAGCTTTGCAAACGATTGGACAAACTATCACTACTCCACAACCTGATGCTGTTTCAACAACGAGGGTAAAACGACGTTGCCAACTTTGTCCAAGGCAACGTGATCGAAAAGTCATCACTCATTGTATGAGTTGTGATATTCCATGTTGTCCAGATCATCATAAGATCATTTGTACTACGTGTTATGAAACATTTTTGGAATAAAAACTGTTTAAAAAAGAATTTTTGAGAAATAAAGGATACAATGATCAAACTCACTTATTTATTTATCAGCTATTCATGCTATAACATACTAACCACACTCTACATAATACTAATACGGCATATTGCTTAGATAATGTATTTCAGCTATTTTATAGATCTGGGGTCCACACGGACCCCAGGTGGGCAACAAGTGATAGTCCTGTAGGTGGGCGGATGAGGGTTAAAGCCTTTAGGTCCATCTTTTGGCGACAGGTAGACCTCAATGAGGTATGAAAAACCTCAAGAGGATTTATCCCCTTGTGCCTTTATTCCCGAGATATCCAGTTCTCAAGACACATACGAAACGGGACCGAAGTGGAAAATAATCGTTCTTAGAGAGCAGTACAGTACTCAGGTGGAAAATTTTAAAAAGGGGGTGACACATCACGATGCGCACGATCGTATAACCGACGAGGAATCACTTTCATCTGTCTGTTGAAAAAAACGTCCAGTGGTTGAATTTAATCCGTCGTTTTTTTCGGTATCTGCAGCCTTGTGCATCCTGGGGTATGATCGTATAATCCCTTTCCATATGTCTGTCCACCCAACAGTCCAAGATGAGCAGGAACTTTTGATGTTTTCCTAGTGACGGAAGGAGTACATGATCGCGCCAGTACTCAACCAAAGATGTTGTGAGCTATCCAGAACTGCTGCAGGTGATCACCACATTCGACGTCTTGAAAAGATGCGAACGAATATTGTCGCTCAGGCGCCCTGTGGGCTCCTTCAAGCAGAGGTAAAGCGGCGAGAGGAGATGACCGTCAAGTGTGATTGTTGGTTGCGCTGTATAGCTGTGGGTGGTAGCATTCACAGAGCGAACGGATCCAATTGTTACTTTCTCCCCTCTATGGCTTAATGTTCGAGTAGAGTGGAATTTAAGCTGAATTCCACTTTGGTCTGTGTTGAGAACTTCGTAGAGGCACATTAGTTTTTAGTCTTATTAGCCTCTTACCTTGACATTTCGTGTAGGACCTTGATTAAAAACAGACACATGGAAGGTGGAATGATGTGACTACTAAGCGTCTTTCTCGTTCACACGTCTTCCATGTGACTTCTCTATGCCTACTAGTAGACACATTGAAGACATATAGAAGACACCTATTATTTTGAAGACGCAATATAGTCACATGCAAGACACTTTTTCTCAGCAGACACATCATTGAAGTCGCATTTTTTTTTAGAGT